TCACATTATTTCGGTACATTATTCTGTTGAGTGTGGACTTATGATGATTAGCCATTAGATCAAAGGGGAGAATGTTGGAATTATGTGATCTCTAGCTTGAGCCGTTACGAAGGGGTGTGGGGTCAAAGACCGTTTCCTCCTAGCTGAGTCTGTCGGGGGCAAACCCCTCATCGCGCAATGTTTAGTAGCGCCCAAACCGACCAATGGCTGCGGCAACAACTCGAGCAGCGTCACATTAATAGGGGTCGGGTGACCTGGCTTCTCCTTTTTCTTCCCCAACTCCAAGCACGACCAAGGTGATTGGTCAGTGCCACTTACGTCCTGAGGGTCGACACTACACCGGCGTACCACTACCTTGACCTCTGCCTGCTCGCATCCCTACTCCACCGATGGCAGACAGACCCTCGCAGGGTCTGTGATCCCCTTTGTGTTCATCTCGGTCTAATAAGTAACGATGAAAAGCCAAGTCAAAATGAGTCTAGGTCATGTCTTACAATCGATTCATGTGGATCATAAACTTCATCTCTATTTTGGAGGAATTATTTGAATCTTTTCCTATACCTAGAAATATTTTAAAAAAGTTACTATTGAAGCAGATATAGTGCAAACAAAAGTAGCTAGAATAGGTACAATCAATACCTTTCTTCATATCACTTTTCTTCTTTGTCTTTCTTGTCTTTTTTTAAACTAGATTTTGGACCCGTCTATCATTTGCGCCTTTTGCCATCCGAGGGACTTTAAACGATATTGTACCTTTTTCAGTGTGTTAGTAGCACATTCAATCAAAATAAGAGGATCATACTCATCGGATTTCTCCAAATCATAAAAAGTTCTTTTGATAGTTGCCTTTCGGGAGATACGTGCAGCACGATGACTCAACTGCAAACCAGAGACAACAGCCCACGTGAGCACGATGACTCAACTTCAGACCAAAGACAACAGCCCAGCCTTGTAGTCAAGTCATGTTGCTTCTCTAGGAAGTCTCCCATGCATGGAGACGGAGCTGTACTAGACTTATCAGAGAAGCGAAGAGGGCATGTAATCCGGATCCTGCTTGTCATGCATGCAGCCTGCAGAATCCTTCTCTTGGAAGTCTCGTGCGTGCGGCCAGAATCCCTGTCTTGGAAGCACCTCCGTGAGTGAGGCATTGAGCAAGAGTTAAGCCGGAGCCGAGTAACAAGCGCAGTTGCTGCCAGTCATCACTCGTCAGCTCGAGCGTAAGGTTTGAGTCAAGTTTTTTTTAACTTACCAGTGAAGGGTATAACATTTTTTCTCACAACAAAATAGTAATAGTTGGCTTATCAGACGCAGAAACCATCAGCCGAATAGCTCCGAGATACACACCATGCATGTTTTGGCCGGCCGGGCCCATTCGTTTTGGAATCTCCATATGATATAGAGAAAATTCCTTCGTTGCCACTTAAAACTATAACCATCCCTTCATTACCATCCAAAAATATATTATCCCTTGATTGCCATCCATTTAGATTTTTTCTTCCCTTGGTTGCCATTCCCGTCCATTCATACGTAACGACGTCAACTACCCAGTCAATCGGCTGTAGGCACCACCGTTAGTCCCCGACCCCTCACGAATCGGAGCCGACGGCAGGGAAATCTGCGCCCGCGGCATCACGTTCGGTGCCGCGCGGAGGCTCCTGACAACGAGGGCGGCAAAGGGCTCGCCAGACTCCCGCACACGCATCGGGATCTGCCCACAGCTGCGGCGAGCCAGCATGGCAATGCGCTAGAAAAGCCCCTTGGCCGCAGTAAGTCCGCCTAGGCTGCTCCGAGCCACCACAGTCACCGCCGGCGACGTCGCGGCCGCCGCCGCCCGTGTCCTCACCCGCGTCCGACGCCCCGCGGTTGTAGGGGCCTTGGCCGCCGCCGTCGACGCCGCGGCCACCACCGTCTGCGTCCTCATCGTGGGTCCGTAGACGCTCGCTCGTGGGAAGATGCATGCCGCCTCGCCGTCGACCACAGGAGCTCCCAGCGCCGCCTCTGCTGGCCGCGAGCACCGCGCAGCCACCCCTCGTGCCGTCCCGGCCGAGCCCGCCGTCGCCCTTCTGCAGCTTGTACCTCCCCTCGGGCGTCGCCTCCGCGCGTCCTTGCGTGCCGCCGCGCTGGCCACCGTGGCCCATCGCCTCCGCGCCAGCCTGCGCGATCTTGCGCCTGTACGCGCGATCCGGCGCCTGCAGCCCGCGTCCGCGCGGCCAACTCCCGCTGTCCCCGCACGCCCTGCTGCAGCCACCCGCGCCGAAGAATCGTGCGCCGCCGCCGCGGCCCCGGGCTCCGCGCGCCTCTGCGCCTCGCGCCGCCCTGCGCCGGCCACTTGCCTGACTCCCACCGGACGGCGGTGGCTCCCTGGTGTTGGGCGTGGGGGAGAAGAGGAGTCGGCGAGGCGGATCCGCGGCCGCGCCTCGCCGTCGACCACAGGAGCTCCCAGCGCCGCCGGTGCCGCCCGGGCTTCACCCGCGTAGATCACGCTTTGGGCTGTGGCTGGCCGGCTGGGCCATCCCTGCCCTCGCCGGTGAACGCGGCAGGGAGCGCAGCACGAGCTCCACTCCGGTCGCTTTGAGCCGCCACGGCTGCGCGCCGGGGCGAGCTCAGCCTCCGCTGCGGCGGGCACATAGCCACCACACAAGGAGGGGAAGGTGAGAAGATGGTGGGAGGAAGGGGATGATCGTGTGGGCCCGCATGTCATTGAGTGGGGGAGAGGGAATTTGACACCGTGATCCAGAAATTTGACAGAATGGCAACCAGAGGAAGCAGAAACGTAAACGAATGGCAATGAAGGAAAGAGGTATTTTTTGATGGCAATTAAAGGATTGCTATAAGTTACAGTGGCAACCAAGGAATTTTCTCTATGATATATGCTATAGCTCTGCCGTGTTGACCCGTTGTAGTTGACGCGTCTTTTTTCTTCCAGCAACGACCCGTCGTGTAGTTAAACTCTTCTATATATCGTCCCGGATTTTCATGTCCGCAGCTAGCGCTCTTTCTTGGCTGTCCATCCACTCCCAACCTGCAGTGTACATCGTAGCGACAAGCTAGCTAGAAACATGGCAGATGTAGAAGCCGGCAGGCCTCCTGCCGATCCTTCTGGTTCTGGGGGATGCTGCGAGGCACCGCCAGAACCATCTTACATGCTGAGGTTCTCTAATGCCTTGTTTAGTTGGGTCGGAATCGGCATTTGCACAGTGTTTGATGTGACAGCAAACACTGTAGCAATTTCGTTTATATTTATGAATTATTGTCTAAATATTGACTAAGGCCTCGTTCACTTTGCAAATCTTTTTAACCTGATGAATAGTACTACTTTCGTCTTATTTGACAAATATTGTCCAATCGTGGATCAACTAGGCTCAAAAGATTCATCTTGTGATTTCCAACTAAACTGTGTAATTAGTTATTTTTTTACCTACATTTAATACTCCATGCAAGCGTCTAAAAATTGATGTGATGGAGAGAGAGTGAAAAAACTTGGAATTTGGATGGCATCTAAACAAGGCCTAATTAGATTCACAAAATTCGTCTCGCAAAGTTCAACCAAACTGTACAATTAGTTTTTGATTTCATCTACATTTAGTACTCCATACATATACCGCAAGTTTGATGACGAGAAATCTTCTTTTTGTATAGTGCCAAAGTTAGAAGTTTGAGGAACTAAACTAGTCCTAAGAGCAACCACAATATATATACTGGGTAGTCTATATAGTGAGCTTTTATGTCAGTGGGCTGTAACTATAGCAGTTGTCACAATGTTGAAGCTAAATGGACCAAAATATGGGGCCCCACTAATCCATAAAAACACACACGCCCCTTCTCGCATTCTCCCCGACTCCCGTCTTGCAACTCGCAACTCCGCCCGCAAACTGCTGCCTCCGCCGCCACTCGTTGCTCGCTCTGCACCTCGCCTCTTCTCCATGTAGATCGGACTGCCACTGCCTTGAATCAGACTCGAGCTTCTTCTTCGTATGGGGCGCGAACGTCCGGTAGGCCGGAACAGCGACCTCGCCGGGGCGCGGACGCCCGGGACGACGACCTCACCGGGGGCGCAGACGCCTAGGATGGCGACGTTGCCGGGGCGCAGACACCCGGGACAGCGCAGGTCGCCGGGGCGCGGACGTCCTGGACGGCAACCTCACCGATGGAGGCCTCGCTGGGCACGCGGATGCCCGCGGCGTCAACCTCACTGTGGCGCGCGCGGATACCTGCGGCGGCGACCTCACTGAACACGCCTTCCGGCTTGCCATCGACGATGGATCTGCCGTGCAGGGGGCGACGGAGCTGTTGGCCAGAACAGAGAGAGAACTGGAGGAACATAGAAATTGATTTTTTATTTCTTATAGGCAGTTCATAAGACTATAGGTACATTTAGTTATAGACCACTCTATTGCTATGTCCAAGGTTTTTTTTATCGGCCGAAATTCACGTAAATTTTCGAAATTTCCTTTCTATCCACAGGTCCAATAAAATTTGACATCGGTCAAATTTTTTCCTTCTTTCCTGCTTCCACACAGACAACCCAAATTCAGCCATGCGACAATCCCACATTATAATGTTTTATTCTTGTTTTTATCTGTGAACAAGTGATGTTTAATAGCTTAGGAATAGTTTCAAGTCAAATTCTACGGAATTTTTTCAAAACAATTTAAATTCTTTTTGAATTTGATCCGATATTTCCGATATATCTTGCTTATCCTATTTATCCATGACCTTCGATAAATTTTTATTTCCGATAATGAAAACCTTGGCTATGTCCATGATGTTTCAGGTAGCTTGTAGAAAATATTTTAATCATATGGACTACCCTTATGGACACATTGTGGTTGCTCTAATGATAGTCTAGCATTGAGAATAGTGAGAACCATCTTACAAGTTGTAATGGTAACTATCTTACTGTCTGTGAGCCTGTTTGCCTTCCTTTATCTTGATCGTAAACACTACCATTATCTTTATCGTATAACTATCCTATTCGCTGTGATCATGTATAGGTTTCTATGGCGGCTATATCCTCATATTGCATCTGGAAACTCTACGACACTTTGCTCCGACGATGGTTTGATGCTCTTGATGGTGACGGGGTGCCGGTGCCATCACGCGAACCGGCATGCCAGGAAGAAGCACTGCTTCAGCTCCACCATCAGACTCCGTGTCACATCCATGAGGTCCTGCGCGAATTCTCGAGCGACGAAATCGAGGCCATGACGCAGGACTTCGGGAGCATGATTGGGCGAGGCGGCTCCGCTCAGGTCTTCCGAGGAAGCCTCGACGACGGCACGCCCGTCGCCGTCAAGAGGATCAACATCGACAGCGGTCACACCGTGGCCGGCGAGGAGGACTTCCGGAGAGAGCTCTCCATCATCGCCAGCGTGCACCACCGCAGCCTGGTGCGCCTCCTCGGCTACTGCCTCCAGCACGGCGGGGGCGGCCTCTACCTGGTCTACCCCTTCTTCGAGAACGGGTCGCTCTTCCACAGAACTGAGGAGCAGAGGCGCCTCATGACGTGGCCCAAGCGGTTCTGCGCATCGCCGTCGACGTCGCCAGGGCGCTCGCGTACCTCCACAACGAGTGCCACCGGCGGATCCTTCACCTCGACGTCAAGCCGGGCAACATCCTGCTCGACGGCGACCTCCGCGCTCACGTCTCCGACTTTGGCGTCTCCCTGTCCATCACCCGGGGCCTCAACAGCGTCATCAACACGCGCGGGAGGGGCAAGTTAGGGTACATGGCGCCGGAGATGCTCGTCAACTCGGTGTCCGACAGGTCCGATGTGTTCAGCTACGGCAAGACGCTTCTCGAGCTCGTCGGCGGGCGCCCGAACTACGTTGCCCCGCCGGTCCCGTCAGCAGACGACGCTTCATCATCAGCCACGCCGGACCTCAAGCGGGACTACTTCCCGTATATCGTGACTCGTGAGGGATATGATGACGCGAGGCGAGCTCCTGAAGGCGGTGGACACGGCCATGGCGCATGATGGTGTGGACGAGGAGGAGGTGAAGACTGTGGTGGAGGTGGCGCTCTGCTGCATCCAGGAACAGCCGGACAAGAGGCCCAGGATGCCAGATGTTGTGGATATGCTCGAAGGGCGAGTCTCCGTTAATCTCCCGCCGGATAGCCGTCCAGCATCTGCTGTCAATGTCTTGGATTCGGAATCCAGTTCCCTCTCTGGTGGATGAATTTTAGTCTCTCAACTTCAGATGTTCTCGAAATATTTGATGTAAAAAAAAAATCGGACTGCAGGATAGTACGTGCCCTCGAGCATTCGCATTATGTGCACAATTGAACACACAGGACTTCTTCTATTCCAAATTTATAAAACCATAAATTATCAAATGAAGTCATGTTTTCTAAATTGTAGTTAATAATTGAGTAATTGTTTCTCTAAATTTTAACAATACATTCTCGTCAAGACAGTATGCTTCTGGCAATGACAAAAGAAAATAATTTTTTAAGGTAATTTAATATGAATATACAAATTATTTCCTATGAATATTGGTTTTGCATTCAGTTAACTGCTTATTAGTAATATTTCATATATGTGTGTAAGTCCAAAAATTTAGTTTCGTTCTAGGTCCAAAAATACTCAGGACCGGCCCCGGTGAGTCCGATAACTGAATTTAGCATGATAAAATTAGTTTATAATCTATAGATTTCTGATAAATCTAAGATTTTCTGTTTTCTCTATTGCGTTCCTGTGTGCTGCGCTGATGTGAGCGGCTGGAAGAGCACGATCCTAAATGCTCACAATGTGTGTGATTCACGACCAAGATAGCTGGAGATACGGTATCTCCGGCTATAGTTGTTTGAAAAGGATTTAACTAAGTTTTTCTATGCACAAGTAAGCTCTTAACTGCCGCTATAGCCCGTTATGAAAATGAGACTTGCCAAAGTAAACGTTACCGATGTCCGGGTAACTGGGTATAACTTCATCACTCATTACTCATCAGCTAACAAATCGTTAGCTACAATTACACACACTCTATCAGGAGCGGAGCTCATAATTTGCTCCTCTCCCTCAGCGCACAAAAGCCCCAGCACAGCCAGCTCATGAGCGGCTTGATTTTGCATTCATACATGTCACAAATCCGTAATAGGTGCCCATGGCTATCTCATTTGGGACCATCACCACTTTTTTTTCCGATCAATTCAGGGGAGCGGCACTCCACTTACTTTATTGAACGAAGGAGCCTAGAGGGCAGGCTCAAATTTACAAGTAAATTACCCTGGCATTCCAGGGGGAGAAAACATGAAGATTAAGGGGAGAAGAAATTACATGAGGTTAATACAAGTGTGGAAATAATCTTTCCAGGCGCCTATAAGGGGTTTGTCTCCTTTGTAGCGGCACGCCCCTCGTTCAAGGTCCTTGACGACCCCGCGCATGATAGTTCCGAGCCTTCCAGAGGTGCCAGAGGGCGGACCTTGGCGGGTAAGTCCAACTCCAGGCCGACACACCACGGCTGCCGCTGAAGACCATCAGGGACTGTCATGTGAAGACAGCGCCAGAATGTACGTGCTCTGGGACATGAAGCAAAGATGGGACCATTAGCAATATTTTTTTCCCCCCAATTGAACATAGGATTTCCAATTCCAAAACCATAATTTTACAAACGAAGCCTGCTTTCTGAATTTGATCAGACCATTCCTCTTCCTTCATGTTCACTGAGCGGCATAATATCAACATCAGATGTTTGCAACTGAGTACTAACTCGTTCAACTGTGTGTATAGAGTAGCAAACCTAAGGAGAAAATAAAAGAAAAAGAATAAAGCACATGAATTACTAAAACCTTGCCATGACTACTGTTGCCGGCAGAGAGCCGTCACTGGTGCATCGTGAGGACTAAATGTCACCAAAGTCAACTTCAACAGTTTCCTTTTATGTCATATGCACACGACAAAAGTACAAAAACTATACCACTCAAAAACAAGAACAACAAAATCTATGCTACACATGTTTCTCTCCACCTTATGTAATGTTACACGCCTCATTGTATGCACAGATCATGCCGTGTCTTGTAGCACATCCGAACACATTCCTCAGCACCCAGGCAATGACTGGGCTGACGTCATGTCAGACAAACTGGCATCTGAATCGCCACAGCATCTCAGGTAGGACTGCCGCAAGGACTGAGCTGATGATGTGCCTGCCACCACATTTGCCTCCGACTGAAACTGCTGTGGCAATGACTGGGCTGACATCATGTCAGATAGACTGGCATCTGAATCGCCACAGCCTCTCAGGTAGGACTGCCGCAAAGACTGAGCTGATGATGTGCCTGCCGCCACATTTGCCTCCGACTGAAACTGCTGTGGCGACCGAGGGACCATGGTAGACAGGCTTGGCCCTGATTCTCCACATCGCCTTAGGTATGACCCATGCTGGCTGGAACCTCCAGGATAGTAGTAGCTTGAAGAACCATAGCCAGAATTCGAGATGTAGGGTGAACTGGCATGTGGACTGGGCGATCCTTGCCTAGAATGGGCCAATTGGGGCAATGAATACCTTATGCTGATTGGTGGAGACAGGTGGCTGCCAACCAGGGAGTGCGTCGAGGGCAAATGTGAGATGCGAGGGTGGGGAGATGACATATTTGCAAGGTCTGCAGTGCTTCTACTTGTATGGATGCCAGGTAAGTTTGTGTGAGATCTAAAGGGGTTGGGAGACTGGGGGTACTAGAAACAGAGTAAGCACGAGAAACCGAGGTGATGAAGGATGCCGGCTTATTGGCCTTGGAGGGAGGCTGCCACACTCGACCTGAATGAAGATCGTTGAGAAGGTAACCGAACAGCAGAAGAAAGCAAGGGTGTAGCCTCTGTGGCAGGAAGTTCTGATACTCCACTCATCGCATCTCGCTTGCATACAGGACAGAATGTTCTCCAAGAAGTTAGCCACAAGTCCACACAAGCTGCATGGAACTCTGCAAGGCAATGGACAAAATTATCAATTTGCTACTTTACACATCTCATTCTTTGCACAATTGGTTTTTGTACAAGGGTACACATTACACTTCATTCAGGGAAATAACTTCTTTTCCCCATCAATTAAATTTGCAGTATTCTTGATGCCTAAGGATAAAAACTCAAAACTATTACAAGAAAACACTTGCCTTACATTCAGTAATAAATCAAGAAAATCTGCAATGTTCTCTAAACATAAGCATTAAGTGATTACTCAAGAAAAGGGCTGCCCAGATGTCCCCACACCAATTAAAATTAGTTTGTTTAAATGAACTTGCTATACATATTTTTGTTTCAGTTTTAAATTACTGCTTTGTTTTGTCTAGTTCTTGTTGGGTTTCATACAGATCTTGCACAAGGTTTTGTTTCTTTTCATCCCACATCAGAAGACTGTAAAGTACAGTATAGCAGATCAGTTGGATGCGTGCCAGTCATACTATTATAGTAGCATAATATGACAAAAAAAGTAAGGTGTTAAAAGTGAGACAAACATACTGTGACAACAAGGCAGCACTCTCAGCTTTTCTCCAAGACTGTAGTCTTCCAAACAAATGGCGCACATTGACGATGTGCAGTTATCTTCTTGCACTTTTGTGAAAATAAGACTTGGCATTGCCTTAACTAATTGACTGCTCATTCCATGGAACTCTCTAGCTTCTGGGATTCTAGGGTGGTCTCTCCTTATTTGATGCCTTCTCACAAAGAAACACGTAGCTAATACAGCAGACATGGCAAGCAGTGATATGAATGAGATTGCCATGATTGACCAGGCTGAGTTCTCGAATGTAGGTAGTATCCACACCTCTACATCAGTATGGCCTGAAAATTTCTTCAACACCTCTCCGGAGGCCTTCGAAATGAAAACAGCATATATATGTATGCCACTTGAGCTTCCAGCCACTGCAACATTTCTAGTTAGATAGGGTACACAATCCATTGCCAATATAAATTAGTGGAATGAAATTGCATCCAGTTACGCAGTTAATTTTTGTTGTACATTTGAGCATGATCAACAGAAATAATTGTTTTGGCTAATTTGTAGAGAGCAGAGCTGAGAGCAATTTGCTTGTGCACCAGTCTTGTCTCTACTTAGTGCATGGCTATCTATTCAACTTCACAATGCTATAGATAAAGTGCACCATGCATCTACACAAGTTGCATTAATAAGAAAATGAAAAGGAGCAAGTGCAAGTGACAAGGAAAATTACTTGAAACCAGGACCCCACTATTTTCATTGTCATACACAATTGCAGCTTTGAATCCAGCATCCTGTGCATTTTTTACTTTCTCATCAAATGTGCATCCACCTCTTACAATTAATGCAAAGGGAGATGGCGGGCCCTTGACTGCCTTGATTGTTAACGGGCTGCAGGCATTCAAAGGTTCAGAAGTATAAACTAAGCCATTGACTCCTGACCCTTTCACTCCTGGAGCTGCAATCCAATTGAAATGGCATGTTTGAATCCTTAAGGAAAATAAAATATTTGATGAATGTGAAAAAGAATCAGAGAGAAGAAAAAAATGAAGCGTACACAATCAAAAGCCCAAGTCTAATGTTAGTCAGAGAACTGGAATAAAACAGCCACAAGAGCATGATAGTAGGCAATGCAATTGCAATGGACTCACTCGTCACCATGAATTAGCTAGTCTACAGTGCAAGCAAGAAGGTCAAACATAACACCTAAATTGAGCATATAGGCAAGCCATGCAAACAAAAAGTTTTAAATTAAGTGGCATACAATGCTAGCAGTTGATCAGATAAAATTAAATGATTGTAAGGAGTGCAGGACTCACAAAAGCTTGCCTCAATGTCATCAAAGGACAAGGTCAGATTATTCCCCAGTAGCACGACATTGGCATCTCCCATCTGAGCCATGAGACAGATAATGACACAAAGAACAAGAATTCTACTCTTCATATGGGCAGTCTCCAAAGCCCTAGTAGAAGAAATGTAACTCTTTTTTATGAAGCACAAGCACATAACTGACAGGACGGAGAGCCAACTAAATACTTCAAATACTCCAAATAAGCATCTCCAAGTGCAGCTAAATGCTTACACCCGCCAGCAGTACCTGTGGGTCACAAAGCAACAAATCAGGTTCATTTCATTCCTGAAGGAATTTTGAGTAGAATTTGGAGATATTAATATTTGTGATTTAGTAGAAGGAACAAAACTATTCCTATAAATTCTGTTTTTGTTTCCACAATTGGCAAGGCAAGAGCCAATCTTCTAAGTTCTAAAAGTATGTGGTCACGAAACACAGTAAGTACAACTCCGCTCGATGGCCTTCCCTAAGAAATTGAACTATAACAAAAGAAGAAATTAACATGGTATGGTACTGAACTAGAAAATCTCGAATCTGCAAGTCTCCCAATGTTAGGACTCAACAATAATCTCGGTATTAAGCACACAATGCTAGATAATGACAGTCCGAATCCAGAAGATAAAGCTGGATGGTTTCGAGTCAATGTAAAGAAGAAATGGACAGAGGGAGGGAGATTCAGATTCGGCTAAAGAAGCGTGGCCATAACATAAAGCTAGGCATTGAGGGCATCTGGAACCCGATGCTCCAGAGGTGCAGAATCTCTAAATCTCAGCTAGAACCTGACACTCGGAACGGAATGATTTCGAGTGTCAGCGCTTGGTTCTATAGAATCTGAATCTCCCTCCCAATGTGCCACTTATTTATACTGACTCCAAACTATCCAGCTTTTATCTTCCAGAGAAGTGTCACATCTAGCGCCGTGTTGCTTAATAACGAGATTTTTGCTCAGTCCTAACATTGGGAGATTCTTGGTGATTCAAGTGGCAAATAGATCACATAAAAAAGGAATCATTACTGGTGTTTGTTTTCAGTTTTCCATGGTGACCTACCTTAACAATCCCACAAACATAGCAGAGCATCTCCAAGAGCCTTTCCAAATCTCACTCTCTAAATCATTATTTGGAGAGTTATTTGCATAAAAATCATTTTCTATATCTTTTCACTCTCCAATAGTTTTTCTATATCTCGTGCGCACTCTAGAGAGTCATTCTCGTCTTGTATTTGGCTAGCGAGAAATCCGGAATAGAAGATGGCTATATTTAGATAACCATTTAGACAGGCTATTGGAGGCTAGTTTTTCACCAAAATCTCTATTTCTAGCATTTAGGAAGGATTTAGAGAGTCCCTTGGAGTTGCTCAACAATCCAATATAGCGCTAATGTGAGACTACAAGGTATTGCAAGTTACCCAATTCTAAATGGCAATAAAAAGATGCTAGCTCCCAATCAAGCCACTGTACCATGCTTTTTTCTTCTTCTTGATCAACTTTGTTGAGGTGAATAATATGTAGAACAGCATAATTAGCTCTGCATTTTCTGGATTGTTCAGAATATTAAAGACAGCGCTTCCAAACATATGATTTTGACATTACTCACAGAAGCTTCATGGCGAAAAGGTCCGTCCACTTCCCCGAGACCAGCAGCGGCATCAGCTGGCCATGGAGTGCCACCACTAGCTCCAAGCCCTTGGTGCGTTGCTGGAGACAAGAGGCCTTGGACCACTACCACTCACACCTGCGTTGCCGGCGACAGGAGCACCTGCTGTGGTTGGGACCCTCCAGCCCCTCCAATCCGCCAGATCCGCTTCGAGGAGGAAGGCCAAGACTCACATTAGGGCCGGGGTCGGAGAAGAAATCCCTGGCCGCGGGATTGGTGGCCGGCGGCGTGTGACGGAGTCCTAGAACTCGCCGTCATCCCCGTGCTCCCGGAAGAGCTACCTCGCGGCAACGGCGTCAGGAGGAGGAGACGCAGCGGATGGTGGCGACGGAGTGGGTCGGCGTGCAGCAGCGACGCGGAGGGGGAACGGGGACTGCAGTGCAGCAGCTCACCGACGCTAGGAGAGGAGGGGGACTGGAGTGGGAAGGCCGGGGGGCGGAGGCGAAGTCGCTTTTTGTTTTTCTCGCCGGCGAGTCCGCGGGACGGAGAGGGAAGAGACGGTACGAGTGGATAGAGTTGGGAAGGCAAATTGCGCCTTGTATAGATGCCATCCAAATTCCAAAGTTTTTTTATACTCTCTTAATTATATCAATTTTTTACCACTTGTATGGAGTATTAAATGTAGTTAAAAAAATAACTAATTATATAGTTTAGTTGGAAATCACGAGATGAATCTTTTAAGCCTAGTTAATCTACGATTAGACAATATTTGCCAAATAAAATGAAAGTGGTATTATTCATCGGATTCACTTTTTTTACAAAGTGAACAAGGCCTTGGTCTTTTGATCAACCATAAGCACCTGCCGTTCTTGCAATTGCAAGGGCCAACACGGCAACACTACACCCTGGCTCTGGCTGTATGCTCAGCCACCACGTACTCATACGAGTT